TCTAATATGAACTGTCAGAGCAGATTAGAGACAGGAACTTGTTGGCATGAGCACTGAGTCAGTCACTTTCTGGGATAATCAGTCCTTAGGAAGTGAGCAGTCAAGATGCCTTTAACTTGGCCCAGTAAGAGAGCCTTTAGTGATGCAGGGAAATGGTGATTCTTAATACTTCATGGTTGCTACCATTCAAATCTGCCCCAACCCTTGGAACCCATGGACCCAGTGTGGGTTCTAGGAAGAGAGGATGTTGGAAGTAAAATCTGTGACCCCCCTCTAATAGCGCAACCCAGAGGGGACAGATTCTTTCTCACCACAGACCACACCACAGCTCTGGAAACTTGAGGGTTTTAGTGCATTGGTGACTTCAGTTGAAGGTAGGTTGGGGTTTGGAAGTGGTGGGGAGGAGGAACTTGATAATACACTGGCACACTACCGAGCTGAAATACTTGGTAATACAGAATAACATTTATGCAGGTGGGACATAAATTAGTGAAGTTTGAATTGTACAGCAAAGGTACAATCAGCAGGCTGGGAAGGGGGAGGCAGAGGAAACTTGGGGCTACACTTTGGATTAAGGTTACTTTCTTTGTAATATTGCGCCATCTAGTGTTAATTCTCATGTTCTTCTTTGTCCTAGTTAGATTATTAAAAGAAAGCAGATGAATTAAGAATCTGAAGTCAGTTTCCAAAGTCATTAGTCATTTGTTTGTTCATTTGACACATACTGATTGAATGCCTTATATATGCCAGTTACTTTTCTAGGTGTTGGGACTACAGCTGTGAACAGAATGGACAGAAATCCTGAACTCATGGAAGCTTACATTCTTGTAGGGAGAAATACAATCAAATAAGAAAAATTAGTAAAATATATGTTATGCTATATAGTTATAAATGTTAAGAAAAAATAAATCAAGGAAGGAAGAATTAAGTTTAAAATTTTGGGGGGCAGCAGACTCTATAATTTTAGATCATATGGTCATGTAGGCTTTGCTGAGAAGACTACTTCTGAGTAAAAAAACAGAATAGTGAGGGAGCATTCCAGGCAGAGGAAATAATCATTGCAAAGGCCCTGAGGTGGAAGCATGTCTAATGAGTTTAAGGAACAGCAAGGAGGAATATACTGAAGTAGGGGGAAAATATTAGGAGATGAGGGCCTTGGGGATCACAGTAAGGACTACCCCATTCTGAATGGGATGGAAAATCATAATAGAGTCTTGAAAGGGGCACTGTTTTACAAAGTAATATACAGGGTATGGCAAAAGTAGGTTTTTCTTGTGTTATTTATTAATTGTATTCTTTTCCATGCAAACAGCTGTAAAACTATTTTTGCCCCACCCTGTATAAATGATAGCCTATGGAATGTATCCTTCCACAGATTTTTTTTTATAAACATTATTCATTCAATAAATATTTTTGCTGAGGTTTTCTATTTTTCATTTGTTTTGAGATAAGATTTGCTTATTGCAACATTTTTTTATGATGGCTGCTTGTCAGATCATTTTAGCACCTGATTTATCTCTATATTAGTACCAGTTGATTGCCTTTTCTTGTTTGGGTTGTGACTTTTCTGGTTCTTGGTATGATGAGTGATTTTTTAAAAAAAATTCTAGTCATATTAAGTTTTGAGACCCTAGATCCTACTTACGTCTTTTATTTCATCAGGAGAAGTAACCTGTTTATGTTTAGTGCATAGTTCCTGGTAATTTTTGGGGCTGTGGTTCCAATGACATACAAGTTTCAGAGCCTATACAACATTATCCTGGTTCACTTTGTTCACCTGGTGCCACCAGGGCTCCAACTTGATCCTGCTGATGCTTCCTGCAGGGGTAAAGTGCACTTTCCTAGGCAGGTCCTGCTAGATGGAGTGTGGGAGATGCTGGGCCATGGGGCAATGAGTGCTTCCCTGAGCCTCTCTGGGCCACCCGGTACCTGCCTGATCATTGCTGGTATTGCCTGAGGGAGTGGAAGGTGCTTTCCTGGGTTCCCCATTGCCAGTGCCACTAGGTGGTAAATGGAAGATGCTGGGTCTGTGGGACAGAAAGTGTCTCCCATGGCCTTCTCTCTAGGTCACATAATATCAACGAGCTTCTTACTGGATCTTGACCAGTGCTGCTGAGTGAGGGAAGCATCAACCTGGGCGTCTCTCTGCCCCTGGTGGTAGTGGTGGGGTCACTCCTTGCCACTGTGTAGAGCCCAGGGGATGCTGGACATGGGTCTCCCTCTACTGCTAAGTGGAGGGCCAGGAGACATTGGGCCTGTTTGTGCTTCTAGATGGAATTCTCTGCCAACTCTTTGCAGGTGCTGCTGGTGCAGGCAGAGCAGGCCAGCGAGGTATGGAGTGGGAATGGGGTTCCTCACTAGATTTCTGCTGGGGTGCCTCTTTCCTGGGCCTTCAGCCAGAAAGATTTGGCTTTTCCTACAGATTTTTTTTTGTGTCTATGCCTTTTGGTGGTTCTGAGTTGTAGGCCTCTGCTGTGCCCAGTCTGGGATATATGAGAGAAAAATCCCAAGGAATTCACTTCCATGTTTTCCCTCAAGTACTAAGGTCCCTAGCTAGTCTGCCTTACTTTTCCCACTTTTCAGAGCCCTTTATGGTTGTCTGTAATTATGTCCTGGATTCTTAGCTGTATTTAGAGGGGAGTAACAGGAAAAAGTGAGTCTATATCATCTTGGCTAGGACCAGAAATCTCAAAATAGCATACTATTTTATATATCTTTCCTCCCCATCTCTTTACTTACATTTTGCTTTAAATAACAAGAAGAAAGCTTGGAAACTTCCTTATTTACATAACCAAGCTCACAGATACATGTTCTGTTTTCCACAAAACTGGAGGAGGCAATGTTGTCACGCTTTTTCTCATCATGTAACAAAGATCCCATTCCTCCAGTTTTTAATAATGTTCCTTACTTTTGAGCAGTGCCCTCCAAGAACAGATGTATACTAACAGTCTGTTCAAAGAAATTTAGGCGTTCTCTATCATACTCCAAAAAAAATCTTTTCAGCTTCCATCCACTGACTGCTTACTTCTAAAACCACTCCTACAATTTTAGGTATTTTTTATGGCATCACCTCACTTTTAGGTATGAAATCTATAATAGTTATTTATTGCTTCATAACAAATTACCCTAAAATTAGTTTAAAACAACCACATTTATTATCTGACAGTTTCTGTGGTTCAGGAATTTGGGCATGGCTTAGCTGGATGTTCTAGTTCTGTCTCTCTCACAAGGCTGCAATCAAGATGTTGACAGGAGATGAGGTCTCATCTGAAGGCTCAGCTGGGGAAAGATCTGCTTCCAACATCACTTACATGGTTATTGGCAGTATTCAGTTCCTTGAAGGTTATTGGACTGGGGGGATTCAGGTCCTTTCTGGGTTTTGGCTGATCGCTGCCCTCAGTTCCTTGCTATGAGGGCCTCCCCAACATTTCAACTTACTTCATCAAAGGCAAAAAGAAAGAGAGTCTGCTAGTAAGACAGAAGTCACAATCTCATGTAACCTAATCAAGAAAGTAACATCTCATTACCTTTGTCATATTGTCATCTGAAGGCTCAGTTGGGAAAAGATCTTCTTCCCATGTCACTTGCATAGTTGTTGGCAGTATTCAGTTGAAAGCAAGTCACTCCATTCAGCTTGCACCCAAGGTGGATTGGGGGAGGGGGAGTGTAGATTACACAAGGACATGAATACCAAGGAAGGCGGATCGTTGGGGGCATTGTAAGGCCTGCCTGCCACAGTAATTATTAATATTCCTTATAATTTTAGTGTTTTAATAGCCAATAAACTTATCTTTTATAGAATATTTACTAAACTTCAGTTTTCCTCCCATAAAAGAGGGTTAAAATAATAACTTATTGTGACTTTAGACTCTCCAGTTTTTGTGACTATGCTGTAATTCATCACTAATTTATGGAAATGTAGTTGATATGTAGTCATTTTTGTAGAGGTGATTACTCCCTTTCCTGAACAACAATGACATGTTAACCATGTCTTCTTTATGAGTTTTAGCACATTTAAACTTGCAAAAGAGATATTTATAAATAGTTTTATTTTCCTTGCTAGACTGTAGGCTTCTTGAGGGCAAATTATGTATTTTGTTGTTCTTGTTGTCAATCCTCACCTGAGGATATATTCTTTTCCATTGATTTTTTAGAGTGAGTGGAAAGGAGATAGGGAGTGGGGGAGAGAGAGAGAGAAACATTGATATGAGAGAGAGACATCAATTGGTTGCTTCCCACATGTGCCCCGAATGGGGCTGGGGACCCAACCTGCAACCAGTTACGTGCCCTTGACCAGGAATCAAACCCTTGACCCTTTGGTCCACAGACCGAAGCTCTAACAACTGAGCCAAACTGGCCAAGGCAAATTATGTATTTTTAAAAAACATTGTCCTATCCCTGACTGCATCTAGAAGAACATATTTACCATGGAGTTCAGTAGATATCTATTTTTTTAAAATAAAATTCCTGTAGCAATTTAAAAAAAGCCCCAGTATTTTTGTAACAGTAAAAGTAAGATATGTATTTGGTAGAATGCCTCTGGTTTACTCAAGTTCAATCAGATACTAGATAGATCAAATACTAATTGAGGAGATTAATCACAGGCAATATATGTCACAACACTGAAAAACAGAGTAAATATTTGATGAGTGAGTGGATGAGTATGTTTTTCCTTACATATATCCCTTTGACATTTTGTGGGTATCTATCTATGTATTTTGAACTAGAGTTTGGGTGTATGTCCTCATAAACCATTCATTTTATACCTCCAAGAACATTTCTACTTTATAATATATAGATAATAACATTACTGTGCACTAACATTAATTATCTGTTTATCTAGCATAGGTAGATTTAGATGGTTCAAAATTATAAGGAGAAAATTTATTTTGAAAGATTACACATTTTTTGTAAGTTTGTAAAACACTCAAAAATTTAATGTTTTATCTTTAAGTAATTATTGTGATTCACTTATTGACCCATAAATCTAATGATAAAACAATCAAATCCCTCTTGACTGACATGCTATCTTAACATGTTTAATTTGTGGAGGAGTTCTAAAAGCTGGATCCCAATTGTATTCTGGTGATAACAACTTAGTGGGCTTATTGATAAAAAAATATTTGTTTAGGTGATGTTCATATGTGCTGCTAAGTTCATTTTTGATGTCATGAATCACTCCTTTTCTATATTCTGCAATGAAGTTTAAAATGTCTTTGGGTGTGCCACCAAAAATTGCACTATGGTAATAGAAATCTCCCTGTCCAAAAGGGATGAAAGCTGCTGATTTAGATCTTCTTTCATAAGGGAAATTTTTAACATTTTCAAAATACAACCGTGAGTGAAGTTGAGCTACAGATTTGCCCAGGGCTTCCACTCCAAAGTTATTCTTGAAGATCTGATTTATACTCATACTGAAGAGAAAGTTAACTTCATCCTTGATGTGTTTTAAAATGTACAAATTTAAGTTGTACATGTTTATGGCATTAGTGTCTTCCCACTCGTTTTCTCTAAACAAACCCAATAGTTTAAATGTTCGAAGGGGACCTAACTCTATGGGAGGTAGACAGGAGAAGTCATCCATCAAGATGTAAAAGATAACTTTGTGGCCAATCATAAAGTACTTATTAGCAGATTCGATGAACTGTTTCAGGTACTGTCTTGTAATGCTGTAAAACATGGAAAAAAAACATAGGAAAAACTTATTTGCTAAAAATCATCAGGAAAACACATGTCATTTAAACATGCTGTCTAACATATATGTCATTGTTGCTAAAGAACTACCAGTAGGTAAGGGTAGAGAAGTTGAGTCTAGATCTTTATTGGTTGAAGAGAATGTAGTGATTTGGGAGCCTGAGAAGAAATATGAAGTTTGTTGTGAAGAAAGAAAGAAAAAATAACTAAATGAATTTTAATGAAAAGATTCCCAAGTAGTGTTAAAGACTCAGCCACAGCTGGAGAAAATTACCACAATAGATAAATAAGTATACAAGTCAGATAGAAATAATGATTAGGGTTAATTATGAATAGCTCTTTGAGTGTAGAATGTCCTTGGGTGCTTATCTACACTTTTCCAAAATAAAAAAGGATGACTATTAGTAGCACTTACTTTTCAGGAAACCGTACAAACAAGCCTATGGTAATGTTTAGACTTTTATAATATTTTTCCAGGACCTGTCTATTGTAAGTTTCTTCCCAGATGACTGGAGCAAGCCAATCGGTTGTTGTTAATACATCAGGACGTTTTCTGTTGAACAAACAAGACACAAATTAAGCAGGTACCACTTTATTATGACAGCAGAAGTTGTCGTCCAAGTGAATATGCTAACGATTATAAAGTACTTACTATGTGCCAGGCACAGTTATTGAGTGCTTTCCATTACCCACTTAATCCTTGAACTGTCCTATAATGTGAGTGCTATTATTACCCCTATTTTTCATATGGGGAAACTTAGGCACAGATTGGTTGAGTAAATTGCTTAATATCACACAGCTAATAGATGGCAGAGTCGGGATTCAAGATCAGCCAGTTGGGCTTCAGAATCTATGTATTAGTCATTGCACCATCCTGCCTTTTGAGCCCAGGGATTTTTTTTCTTTTGAGCTTCGACTACTGAAACTTAAGTAGTCCAGGGTTTGAATATTTCTCTGATTATTGGCTAAAGCAGATAGCACTACGACCACCTATGTCTACCGCCCCCTTCTCCCTTTTCTTTTCCACCCTCTCTTTTCCTAGAAGCTCTAGAGCACTTTCTTTTCACCTTTTCCTAATGCTTTAGGCCCGTCAATGCAACCTATAAGAAAACAAAATTAGTCCAAAAAGGGAGAATGACATTAGACTTGCTTCTAATAATAATATGACAGCAGAAGTAGCAGCATTAGTAATAATGGTGTTGCTGAAGGCTGGGCATTAAACTATTAAAGCAAATTAAGAACTTCATTTTGGAAGGAAACGCGTACAAAGCAAGAAGCCATTTTGCTATTGGTAATTGCAGGGTTTCATTACAAATCCAGACCCAGAAAAGAGTTTGACAACCCTTAATAGTATTTTAATAATAATATACAATAGTCCCCCCTTATCTGCAGGGCCCCCAGTGGATGCCTGAGATTGCAGTTAATACTGAGCCCAATATATACTGGTTTTTTTTGGAACTGGTGGGTAGGTATCACGAACTGAGTGGATATGCTGGACTAAGGGATGAGCCACGTCCTGGGTGGGGTGGAGCAGGACGGCGCAAGATTTCATTGTGCTAGTCAGAATGGCCTGCAATTTAAAACTTACGAATTCATTATTTCTGGAATTTTTCATTTCATATTTTTGGACCACAGTTGACCATTCATAACTAAAACTGTGGAAAGTGAAACTGCAGGTAAAGAGAGACTACTGTAATAAATTTATTTATTTATTTATTTATTTATTTATTTATTTATTTATTTATTTATTTATTTATCTTTATTGTTGAGAGTATTACAGGTGTCCCATTTTCTCCCCCCAATTGACCCCCTCCACTTTGCTCCCACCCCCTCCCTAGGCCTTCACCCCGTTATTCACTGTGTCCATGTGTTATGCATATATGCATATAACTTCTTTGGTTAATCTCTTCCCA